TAAACCGGACCCGATTTGACGGAAAGTAAAGAAATAAAAGAAATAAAAGTGCGAGAAATAAAATTGTTACAAGGCTTTGGGGCAATTACATAATTAGAATAAATGACATAAAATAAATGCGCGAAATTAAATAAATAATGAACATGGGCGTTGGACCCTTTTACAACAAATTAAAGTTAATAAGGAATTAAAAATTAAAATAAGAAAGAATGTTTTTTTGGTATTTTGTGTTTTTAGGATTTAAAAGAAAAAATAGTTAATTAAAATTAAAATGAAATGTCAGACCTAGTTCTAATTATTTTTAAGTTTATTATGAAAGTATTAAAATTTAACCTAAATGCAACCCTAATTAGTTTACAAGTTCAATTATGAAAATAAATAAATCACTAATATTATGGCAAAAAACAAGGAAAATTAAAAGGAGTAAAAAGTCATTAAACCTAATGCTATATTTTTGGATTTTTAGTTATTAAGAGGAATTAAAGTTAAAACCTATTTTACTAAATTAATTTACATGTTAATTATCTACAAGAAAATAAATAAAATAAATATTTTTTATGTTTTTATCCTTTTTCTGATTTTTTGATGTTTTTGTATTTTGTTAAAAAAAATAAATTAATTAAACTAATTCTATATTTTTTGGATTTTATTAAAAAGGAATTAAAGTTAAAAACCTAATTAAACTAAATAATTACATGTAATTTATTTATAAAAGTAATTAAAATAAAAATTATATTTTTTGCCTTTTTCTGATTTTTTATGATATTTTTCATATTTTTGTAAAAATAATTAATTAATTAAAACAAATAAAGTAAATAAATAACATAACAATTGAGAAAATGAAATATAAAAAGAAAATCAAACCAGGGGGGGTAGCCCCAGAATTGGAGGTAAGGCCTAGCATTTTGGCCCATTAACATTGAAATCCACTTGACTTTTCAGTTCACGTGCCAATGCGTTGACCATAGCGTATCATGTGCCTTGAATCTGAGCCCTTTGATTGATCTACTGGGACGTGTGGACGATGAGTTTTGAGTGTGTATGGTATGCCCTGGACGTTAGCGCTGCACAAGATCTTGTATTGAAAAATATTATTGAAATTTATACAGACCTGGGGTTCGAACCCAGGTCTTGGACAATGCAAAGGAATACGCCTGCCACTGAAGCACTTGAGCTACTTTTAACATATAATGATTAATGAATATAATAAAAAGAAAAGAGAGTTAGTGGCCTTCAACGCGCCAATTTTTGAACTGACGAATCACAGCGTGCCATGTACTCATCTTCCTCGCGTGCCTGAAATACAAAACACAGAGGCAACGGTTTCAACGCGTTGTGTTAGGCATGTTTATGAAAAATAGCGACTAGCGCTGTGACATCAATAAATTGATCGCGAGGGTCCATCTTTGTTCGTTTGGGCATGATGATTCCAATGGTGATACTCAGGAACCTTGATTTTGCCTTGGCTGGAAAGCCCCAAATGGAAAGACCTGCAAACCCTAGAAACTGGCCATGGCAGAATCTTATACACAGCACGATATTTCAATTAAATACAATGGTTAGCTCTAGAAATTCATAAGGAACATAAATCCACAGTTAGAATGTCATGATAATGCTTAGAATTTAAAATACGATTGCCACTTTTTTGCTGTACAGGGAGGGTTCTATGTACCAATTCTTCGTGTATTGATGGATGTTAGGGATTGCAATATGATCAGGAAGGCTTGAGGAAACTATTAGAAAAACTTTTATGCCTTGAATCCACCTCTAATAGTGATTTCAGAATTCAGTTTTCAAGTCAAAATTTCAAATTTTCAATGAGCTTTTGAGCGCAGCATTTGGTGTCCAAGGCTTAGGGTTTGACTCAGTGCTTATGATGGAAGAGAATTAGCTTGCTAGCTGGCCTTGATTCATGCTCATGAGAGAATTGGTCTTAGGTCTTTTTCATTAACAAACTTTTCCTTCTTTTAAGCCAAGACCAAGACTTAGTGTATAATCTAACCCTAGCATGAGTTATTGAGCTGGCCCATGATACATGGAAGTTGTCCAAATTCAAATGACACTATTCCATTGACTTTTGAATTTTATTTGAATTTTTAAAGACTTAAAATGAATTAAATTATCAAAAATTAAATAAAATAGAAAAATCAATATTTGGTCTTGAAATTAATCATGGGACACGTGTGTGGCATGACAAGGATGAATCAAGTGGAAGAAAGTGGGCCCTTTTGTCAAAAATTGGAGTTTCAAGGATAATTGACTTTTGCCATTTCACAAAAATTTCCCAACTTCTACAAGGCATAACTTGCTCAATTTTTAAGCTTTTCACATGTTCTTGGACATTTTGGAAAGGTCTTTGAGTCCTATAACCAATGCCTTTGGTCCCATGTCATTTTGATTTACCAATCTCAAGTTATGGTCTTTGACTTAAAGTCCCTTTTTGTTGACTTTTGAAAATGACCTATAATGTTGAAATTGATAACTTTTTGTGAGAGAATTTCTTGGACTTGAAGTATGAAGATGAGTTGTAGGAAATGTCTTTCTCTTCAAAATGAGCTTTGGATGGAATTTTTCTGATAATCCATGTGAAAGTTATGCTTTGGTCAATTTCAGTTGACTTTTTCAGCTGTCCAAATATAGCAACTTTTGCATCTTTGATGATTTCTGAGCCAAATTTTGAGAATCATGATCAAGCATTGATCAAATGATGTTTGTGGCTTCAAAATGATATGTTGACCAAAAATTTGAACTTTTGACTGTCAAATGACCATTTTGCCCCTACAGTTGACTGTAGTGCAATTTAGGGTTTTGACTGTGCAATCTTGAGCTGAATGCCTTGAAACTTGATATGAGGATGCTTGACCATGTTTGTAAGCATATGAGACTTGATTGGACCTTTGAACACTTCCTTTTCTTGATCAGAACACAAACCCTAGTTTTGACTGTATAGGAGACAGTTGGACTGTGCAACCCTTGGGGGAGTTTTATGACTTGGCTTGGCAATTTCTTGAAGAATATGGGAGGGCAAATTTTGGGGTGTAACATAGAGCATCAAGAACTATATTTAATTTGTGTAATGGTTGACAATATATTCAAAACTAATATAATAGTATCTCATGATTAAGCACTTTAATCATACACGTGCAATATGAACATATTATCATATAATTATCAAAATAAGACAAAATCATATCACTAAAATTATATCATCATATAATTAATTTATTTTATGATCCTTCAAGAATGTTTGATAAATTCTTCTAAAACTATATAAATAATATGTTTTGTTATTCTTCAGAGATGTTTGATAAATTTTTAGGGAACTATATAAATAATTTATTATAAATAATTATCTAACAATATAACCATCCTTCCGGGATGCGTTAAAATTATTGTCCTTCTAAAATATTTTAATATTATTGTTGCCATCTTTTGGGATACTTCGAAATTACAATTGATATTATCCTAATCAAATAGTAAGATATAATAGGTTGAATAAATAATATATTTTATAAAACTAAAACAAACAAAGAAAAATATATATGAGAGCTTCGTGCTGATAACGTGTTATGAAATTCAACAAAACAATATAGAGATGAAGAAGAGAAAGAGAAGAGAGAAAGAAATATTGTATTATTCTTCGAGTTCTTTTAACATTACAATATGGATCTATTTATAGTACATGACCAATAGCAATATACAAAGTTTAAGAAATTAATTCATATAAGCTAAGAAAATATAGAAAATAAGGGGAAATGGAAATCCACAGCTATTTAATATTATTCATAACAAAGTTAATATAATTATTATATTTTAGTGAAAGTTATAATAATTCTTCTTGTTCAATTAGAATAGCTTAATTTTTTTAATATGAAGATAATATAATTGTTATGTTTTAGTGAAAGTTATAATAATTCTCCACATTCAATTAGATTGATTTTTCATTTTTCAAACCGTTACTTGGTCATAAAAATAGATTTTTAATTAGGTTCAATTAGATTTAAAAATAGAATTAGTCAAAGAAATTGAAATGCCTGATTTCTCTCTTACCAGGTCTTGACGTGGATTTTTCAACAGCAAAAATTTTGTCTTACCGGGTCTTGACGTGGATTTTTTCAACAGTGAAAAACTGCCGCAAAAGTATGTTTTAAATATGAAAGCTACACAGCTAAAAAAGATATTTTACTTGAAAATAATGAAATATTTTATCAATATCAAATATTATCTCTAGAAATAAAAACCAAATATGTTGGAAACGAGGACAATGATACCAGGAGGAGGAAAATCACAAGTATCATTCATATGTAAGAATGATACAAAATAGACCCAAAATAAATTCCATTAAAATCCTTCTTCAGACCAATAAGCAAAGCATATAAGATAATGGTCATTGCATTACACGCCAATGGCCAACTAAATGAACACTTGAAAACACAGCCTCAGCCTCAGCCGCCTCCCACACCAGGATCACATTAAATCCCTAATACAATATCTTGTTCATATGGATTGTGATATGCAAAAAAATAAAGTTTTGTCAGTACATATAAAATAAAGATCTAGTAAAGTGAAATGATGTCATATACATCAAAGAATTACTTCTATGATATATATGTTATGTTCTCAGAGGACAAAGTCTTAACAAAATATTGTCATGTTTGAGTTACGAAACCAATATCATGCAAATGAAAGAATACTACAAAATTGACCCTTAATGGATTCTGTCAAAATCCTTCTTCAGACCCAAACACGACAGTCAAAACAGACTGTACCAGAAACACAGCATATCATGAAATCCTAATTCTCTGGTTTTCTCTTATTTGCAGCCTAACCATTTTCTCAGGATTTGTCAGCTATCAAATGCTTGGAAATGCATATGATTGTTAATTTTTTTGTTAAAACATACATTTTACACGGTTAATTTTTTGTTTCCCCATTGTGTTTCACAAAGTTTTTTTTAAAGGCAAAATAAGAATTTATTTCTAACATTATAGGCATGAGACATGACATACACACCAGTCCAATCCAACCCACCAGCAGTTTTAACTCAATACACATTATACGTAAAAACATTATACTTTTTGGAACCAAGACCAATTAAAGCAAACATCTCCAGAGTCAGAACCCAATACACAAACATCACACTGCTAAGCAAATGCCCCATTATATAGCAATTTTTCACAAAGTTATATAGATATCACATAGCAAAATCAAACAATAAAGAAAAGAAGAAAAAAAGTGTATATTATGATTACCCGTAGTCATAATCCTATTTCTTTGACTTCATGAAATAGATTGTGATTTTGTCATTTGCTCATTGTTCTGCAAAAAAATAAAGTATTATTAGTCATATAAAATAAACTCAATTTATATTTACTTAACCATAAAAATGAAAACAGAATCTTTATCCAATGTTCGCTTGCTTTTACACGCACATAGGTCAAAATTAATTAATGCTTTTGCGAACAGTATCTTTAATCGGTAGTATTTTTCGCCAACGAGTTAAGATAGTATGTTAAAGGCACGCTAAATCCCTACGCACAACAAAAATGAGTAGAAACCTAGAAACCTAATAACAGAGAAAGGAATATAAACGAAAAAATAAAAGCACTTTTATATTTACCTCCTCACCTCTGAATTCTAGACCGTGTTCTTAGATTCAAATAGATTAATCAATTCTTTATAGTACTGATCAATCTAAATGGTGTTGATCCACAAGCAATATTAAATGTTTTTGTTAAATGTTTTTGTGACTTTTTTAGATAAGTCATTTCTCCACTCCATGACCATACCACCAAATAATGGTTGTCTTTATTATAACCATAAGAGGGATTGTCAAATTCTTGTTCTTCTTGTTGATTTCCAACATCTTGATTCATATCATCTTAATTCCCACCAATTCCCGTTCATCCCGTTCAAATTCCTAGACGGAAATTGGTGGGAATTAAGATGATATGAATCAAGATACTGAAAATCAGCAAGAAGAACAAGAATTTGACAATCCTTCTTATGGTTATAATAATGACAACCATTATTTGGTGGTATGGTCATGGAGTGCATAGATAACTTATCTAAAAAAAATCACAAAAACATTTAATATTGCTTGTGGAGATTTACCTATAATAATGGGAAATTACGGGAGTTAATTCAACACCATTTAAATTGATCAGTACTATAGAGAACATTGTGTATGAAGCCAGAGGTGAGAAGGTAAATATAAAAGTGATTTTATTTATTCCGATTATATCACTTTAGTAGGTTTCTACTTATTTTTGTTATGCGTATAGATTTAGTGTACCTTTAACATATTATTTTAATTTGTTGACGAAAAAATACTACCGATTAGAGATACTGTTTGCAAAAGCTGTTTTCATTTTTATGGTTAAATAAATGTAAATTGAGTTTATTTTGTATGACTAATAATACTTTATTTTTTTGCAAATCACAATCTATTTCATGAAGACAAACAAATAGGAATATAACTATACCGGTAATCATAATATACAGGCTCCTGCTGCAGAGTAACAGTAACAGGCTTGGAAGACGGATTCACACTCTCAGTCTCAGACGAATTCACAATCTCAGTCTCAGACTCCTCCTTTTCTTTTTCTTTTTGGAAGGAGAAGAAGAGGGGGTGCTCTCAAAAGAGGGAGTAGAGAGAGCTCTCAGAAGAGGGAGAGCTATCGCATGCTCCTTTGTCTTTTAAGACTGTAACAAAATAAAAAATGTGTTAAACTAAATATATAAGCAAATCAGATAAATGAAACCATTCTAAATCTTACCCATCAATTTAGATTGGTCATCTAAAAATGCGATTCGAAGAGCCAAGTTCACACCATCAACGATCTTTTGCTTACAGGACTCCAAGTTCACACCATCAACGATCGTTTGCTTACAGGACTCCGGCGCCTCCTTCATGAATTAAAACATGGCATTTTAACGCGAGAGGTTGAAATTGTTTTTAAAAAAACAGAGAAATGTTATTTTTAATGTGAGAGAGAAGTTATTTTCATTGGCATGCCAAATGTGTGTAAGAGTGCTTCATTGATACCAATACCAACTAGTGTATCAAACAAATGCAACCAATGCTCCCACATCATGTATTCACATATATTTTGAATTCCATTTTACAACAGAAAGCACAAATTGAAACAGATTTTTAATTATAATCAAGTGAATAGCAAAACACAATGAAAAATGCAAACAAAAAATTACCCAAGATTAATATCAACGTAATCACAATAAGGCTCCACTCTACGTGCAGCTTCCAACAACACATCAGGATCATTAGCACAAAATTGAACAAAAAGTGGTCGATCCTCCTAAAAAATTCCAAAAGTCACAACAAAACTAGAATAACAATAACACTAATTGTAGATATAAAAACCTTAAGTACCCACCTTACAAGTGGTGAATTCTTCTTTTCTTTACTTGTCCGTTTCGGAGAATATCCGAGAATGCAACATTGGAGTATACGCAGCCTGAGCACCATACTTCTTACACAACAACCGGAACGGAAGCTCCGAGTTATCCACCATCGGAGCAACTATCAGTTTCGGTCGACCCAAGTTGGTCCAATGAGCCCACGCGCGTTGAACGCGCGTGTCGGTGAGGGTTAGGTTACGGGCAGGGTGTTCTTCGGGTTGGATTGGATCCGGAGAAGTTCGGGTTTGGGCCATGATAAGTGGATACGGTTGTTGTGGGATAAAATATCTGGTGTGAGAGTGAGAGAGGATAGAGGAGAAGGGTTTCGGTTGTTTCATGAGCGAACAACGATGGGTTTTTGGAACCAACCCATCGCCGCCAGATGATAATAACGTTAACGAAGAGACCACTCAAGTTGCGGGATATTTACTTGTGTTGTTCTAGTTTTGGAAACGCGTGGGTTTTTTTTAACTAAAGAATCAATTTTTGGTCTTGAGAATTTTGCAACTCAAACCTTTTTTTAAGCCAAATACTAATCATATTATCCACATAGTTTGACTCCGGCTTTGCTCTATTTATCAATATTCCGTTTATTCTATTCTAATGCATAGATGTATAACACATCATGTAAATAACCAAATCAAATAGTTGTAATTAAAATAAAAATTGGAATGTGCTCTTAGATTTTACAAGATTGTTTAACTGCTATTTGATTTATTTTCTTACGCATGTCATACATCTGTACTTTGCAATGAATTCTAAAAGTGAGAATGAGGCCAAGCCAACAACCCCTAATTATTATCATTTAAGTAGGTTAAAGACCATAATACCCCCTTCACTCATTTAAGTCTCACATTTTTCTTCTTGTAATGCTGTGTTTATCTTGGTATTTTTCATTTTCTTTTTGTTGGTGATTTTTCGCTCTTTTTGTTCGTGTTTATTTAAGTTCTAATTCTTCGTTTTTTTTCTCCAGGATTGGTTTATATCATAATTTTATCTGCTTGTTTTAAGACATTAATAATTAAAGCGGAGAATAAAATCTGATTAAAGTGGAATAATTAAATGTATATTTATTTTGTTTCGGAGGGTCTGAATACAAGATGCACGTTTTGTTTAAGTTTTGATTATTGTAATTTAATCTTTGTTTTTTTAATAAACTAAAATCACATTAAAAAAAAGAATAATTGAATATACATTCTTTTAATCTCGCGTAAATTAACAGACACACATTTTATTTACTCGTTTTTCGTTTAAAAATAAATGACGAATTGATTTTTTTTTTCTCAGATTAAAAAGAGATAATTGAGTGTACATCATTTTATCTTCGAATAAATGAATGCAAAATGTATATCTTGTTTAAGTTCAAATACTCGTCTTCCACCTAATAACAATGTCAACCAATAAACTCTCGTTTCCTGCCATAGTGCAAACAAATTTTTATTTTCAATTAACAAACTTTTTCTGCCTCTTCACGATTAAACACTTTTTTTTGTATAAAAGTATTCAACCCACAAGTTTTTGCTACCTTGAACTATTATATTGTCCAAAAAATACAGGTGTATGTCTGCACTCCTTGTAAAGGCAATGAGACTCAAAGGCCTTAGTAGGTATATTACAAGTCCACGACCGCCATAGCGCAAACAAACTTTTATTTTCTATCAACAAATTTTTTTCTGTCTCTTTAATTATTCTTTCATCTAAAATCAACCAACCCACAAATATTTGTTACCCATAATTATGTAGCTTGGAATTCCCCATCGCACCTGAGAATACGTAGGAGCAATATATGCATCTTATCCAACATCCTAATAAAAAAAATTCTTTTTTTCCTTTTCTTGTAAATATGTCGTAATAAATAGGAGAAAGAAAACACTTTAAGGATAACACTTTTATTTGCAAAATTAATTAAAGGTAATTATTGTTTACAATTGATGTTATGGGGTGGGTGCTAATACCGTTCTCACGCATAACCGACTCTCGAACATGGATTTGGTTGCAATGACCATATTTTTATTCTTTTAGGGTTTTGTCAACATTTTCCCTTTAAAAATAAACTTTTGTGATGACTTCATTGTCATTCAAGTGTTTTCGTGCTCAAAGTATTTTTCGTGTCGCGATAGTTGACAATTTCATTGGGGAATTTACTGGAGAAAATTTACTAGGGAGAAAATGATTAAACGACTAGTGCCAATGATGACTGGGCTTTGAAAATTTAAAATGATAGGTTCCAATGGTGATTAGGCTCTAAAAAGTTAAAAGACGAGGGTCGATGATGATCGGGCATTGGAGGTGCCATTAAAAATTGGGCTTTAAAAGTTAAAAGACGGATGACGGTGATGATTGAGATTTGAATGTGCCGATGAAAATTTGGCTATGAATATGAGTGAAAATTAAACATGTTTAATATTATGTGTCATGGTTGCGTAATGATTTATGTTATGCATTATGAAGCCTTTAAGAACTCAATATGTCCCAACTAGCAAGGAACATATTCCTTAAGAGCATATGTGATATTACATAAATGTTTCCCTGTCCATCGTTATAAGGATCAAAGATCTATTGGATAAAGCTTTTTTTGCAACGTACAAGCCTTCATAGTTTGGGTTCCACTTTCTGAGAGAATCCTTTTAAATAGGCAATATCTTTTTTAACACCAAGTCACCTTCCTTGAACTCTCAAGGACAAACTTTCTTGTCGAATGCTCTTTTAAATATGCTTTGATACAGTTGAGCATGACATAAAGTTATCATCCTCTTTGGAAAAGAAAATTTAACAAAAAAGAGTCTTTACACAAATCAAGAAAAGAATAAATAACCTAAATGTTGAGGTTGAAAAGGATGTGAGCTTGTTGTCAGCAGCGAAAAGACGCAAGTGAAAACTTTTGAAGAGTACCTGAACTAAAGGTTGAAGAGCACTTTCAATCAACAAACCTTTTCCCGCCTCTTAAACTCTTCTTTTATCTAAAATCAATCAGCCCATAATTTTTTGCTACCCATAACTATGTAGCGTTGAATTTCCCATCATACCAGGGAATATGTAGGAGTAATATCTGTATCTTGTCATGCACCCTAATAAAAAATTATTTTATTTCTTTTCTTGTAAATATATCGTAATGAATAAGAGAAATCAAACACTTTAAGGCTAACACTTTTATACGCAAAATTAATTAAAGGTAGTTGTTGTCATATTCCATTCTAAGTCATTTATGGGATTTTGGCCCACCCACAGGTTCTGCTAAATCGGTGTGATGAAAGTGATTTCATGTTTTTTAGGCGGGGTGATAAAAGTGAATTCATGTTTTTTTTTCATTTCTGTTTTTTATTTTCTTAACATTTTTAAATTTTAGAGACTTATATCCATAGTTATGCAAGTAATAGATTTTTTCATTTGTATAATCAATCTAATTTTGCAAAATAGTAACGGTTGAAGAGTTATATTAGAGATCTTAAACAAAATAATATGACTATTCAAAAAATTTATTCAGTGAAACTGATATATGAGGTCAATTGACTCTTATGAAATCTATGACACCCCTATTTTTATTATTATTAAAAAATATTTTATTATATTATTTGATTAATTAATTAATATTGATATTAATATAAAAGAGTTGATGGAATTTTTTGTATTGATATTAATATTAATAAATAAAAAATTGAGTCTGTTTTTTGTATGTGAATTTTGCATTGGTTAAATGTTAGTAAAGTAAAATATGTCTACTTGTTTTCATTTTACTTTAGACTTTTACATCGATTCCCATGTCTTGACCTGGTTGTTTGTAATGCCTTAATTTCCTTGGATATGTAAGTTGAATGTTGCATAAATATTAACCCTCGTACATATGTTGTGTTAGAACATAGTTTGATTCTACAACCCTCAGTTAGAGTTTTGATGATAACAAAATACAAGATTAAATGAACTATGAGATTTATATAAGACATAGATGCTACTTAAAATTATGTTGTGTATTTGCAGAAACTCTGATGGAATCAGCATCAGAATATCAGTATCAACATCAGCATCAAAAGATATGGCTGCATCAGAAGATCAATTCATGTGCTACGCTGAAGCCTGATGAACAGAATATGCGCTTAACACACTATGATTCTGAGCAAGATACTTATCATGTCATCAGCACTCAGAAGTGCCAGAATAAGTTAAAGCCAAGAATACTCTGAATTTCTTTAAAGCAGAACATTCTGAAGTGTCAACGTTACTGCATTCAAGGCAGATTAATTACCAACGACTTTATTCCAAGACAAAGATCTTCTCAAAAAGGAAAGAACGTTATGAGCATTGAAATGGAATTATGGACAGCAACGTATCTATTCCAAGGCTATATAAACAAATCAGTGAGAAAAGAAATGGCTAATTCTCTCACACGCACATACGCATAAGCCAATCATCTTCACGTTCTCACTCATACAATTTGCTAAAGCTCTCAACCGCTTACTCTATAGCTCTAGTAGTCTAGTTTTTATCTAAGCTTCATATTGTGTATTATCACAATTGTGATATATAGTTTTTCTAGAAAACATCAAACACACATATTTGTTCATTTATCTGTAAGAGAAATTCCTTGAGATAAACCGGTCTGTGGTTAAACTCAAGAAGGCCTTAGCAGTTGTTAAAGCAGTTGTGTATTCAGTTGAATATAGTGGATTAAGACCTCGTTGGAGAGAGGCGAAATCACCTTGACGGGTGGACTGGAGTAGTTTGAGATCAAACGAACCAGGATAAAAATAACGTGTTGTCTGCATTTGATTTCAAGTTTTACAATTCAACCCCCCTTCTTGTGTTTTTCACTTCTTCAATTGGCATCAGAGCGCCTGGTTCTGAGCTTATAACACTTAACCGTGTCAGTACAAGATCCAGCGTTAGAAAAACACAATGGCAGGACCATATCAAAACATCAGCTATGACAACAATGAAGAAAGAGACAGATTCAGTGGAAAACCTTCAGTCTTTGATGCAGAGAACTTTGATTACTGGAAAGACAGAATTGAAAGCTTCTTTCTAGCCCATGATGCTGATCTGTGGGATATGGTGAATGGTGGATACACGCACCCAGTGAATGCAAATGGTCAGAAGATTGACAGGAAAGCAATGTATGATCAACAAAAGCGTGATTTCAAAAACCATCACAAGGCCAGAACAATTTTTCTCAGTGCCATCTCTTACTCTGAATATGAAAAGATATCAAACAGAGACACTGCAAAGAATATGTTTGACTCTCTGAGAATGACGCATGAAG